TCTCCCTCATCTCAAGACTGCACTCTTCTTGATGTTATTTCTGATTATATTGACAAAGCCCTCATTCTTTATCCATCAGCCAATATTGTTGTTGTCGGTGACTTTAATGTTCATCACACTGAATGGCTTGGCTCTAGTGTCAGTGACTCTGCAGGCATTAAGGCCCACAACTTTTGTCTTTCTCAATCCCTAACTCAAATAGTCAACTTTCCAACTCGCTTTCCAGACAACCCGAATCATTTACCTTCTCTACTCGACTTATGTCTTGTTTCTGATCCTAGTCAGTGCTCAGTTTCTTCACACTTACCCTTAGGTGCGTCTGATCATGGTTTGGTCTCTCTAAAACTATTATCTCATTCTTCTTTACCATCAGAATCCCCCTATCATCGTACATCTTACAACTACCTTAAAGATGGGACTCTTTCCGTGATTTTTTTTGTGATGGTTCCTGGGTAGAAATCTTTCGTCTCCCTGTTGACAAATGTGCTTCTTACATAACTTCGTGGATTCAGGCTGGCATGGAATCCTTTATTCCCTCTCAACAATTCCAGGTCAAGCCTCACTCTTCTCCATGGTTTTCCTCACATTGTGCTGCTGCAATTGCCAATCGAAACCATTACTTCCATATCTATCAGCAAAACAATTCTCCAGAAAGCAGACATCTGTTTATTACTGCTAGGAACCATTGTAAAAAGGTTTTGTCTAACGCCAAAGCTCGCTATTCTCAGATCATGAAATTTCGTATTTCATCACAAAAATTAGGCTTTCGTGACTTCTGGAGAATCTTTAGTAGTATCAATAATAAGGGCAAGTCTGTAATTCCACCTCTTTTGTATGGTTAAGACTTTGTCACCTCACCTAAAGACAAAGCTGAATTGTTTGCCAAGAACTTTTCATCAATATCATCTCTTGATTCCACTAGTTGCGTTCTACCTGATATAGCCGTCAAACAGGTTGATCCATTGCTCGACATTCGTATAACTCCAGCTTCTGTATCTAAAGTGATTTCCGGCTTAGACTCTTCTACAGTTTGCGGCCCGGACAACATAACTGTTATAGTCTTGCAGAAGTGTTCTCCGGAGCTATTGTCTACCCTTTCAAAACTATTTAACAAGTGCTTATCAGAGTCTTGTTTTCCAGCCTGCTGGAAAACAGCATCTGTTATCCCTATTTTTAAAAATTCTGGAGAAGGATCTGATTCATCTAACTACCGTCCCATTAGTCTTCTTCCTATCATAAGCAAGGTTTTTGAATCTTTAATTAACAAATACTTAATCTCTCATCTCGAATCTCATAACCTATTTTCTGATCATCAATATAGATTTCGACCTTCTCGTTCTACGGCTGATTTGCTTACAGTAATAACTGATATTGCGCATTAGATAAAGGTGAAGAGGTTAAGGCCATCGCTCTTGATATTTCTAAAGCGTTTGATAAAGTTTGGCATGCTGGTCTTCTCCATAAGCTTTCTTCTTATGGTGTATCTGGAAACATCTTTAAGATTATTGAATCCTTTCTTTCCAATCGTAGTATAAAAGTTGTCCTTGATGGACAGCACTCTTCTTCTTATTCTGTAACCTCAGGGGTTCCCCAAGGTTCAATCCTTGGCCCTATACTCTTTTTAATTTACGATCTAGAAGATCGTTAATTTACATTAACGATCTTCTAGATTTTCTCACATCTAAGGTGGCATTGTTCGCTGATGATACTACCATTTATTCTTGTCACGATAAGAAGCCAACTCCATCTGATTGCTTGCAGGGGGCATCTGAGCTTGAAAAGGATCTCACTTCTGCTACAGCATGGGGCTCACAGTGGCTGGTAAACTTTAATTCAGATAAAACTCAATTTTTTTCGGCCAATCGTTATCGCAATAATTTAGACCTTCCTATATTTATGAACGGTAATGTACTTGATGAGACTCCTACCCTTTATCTTCTAGGATTAACTCTTACTTCTGATCTTTCTTGGAAACCTTATATCAAATCCATTGTAAAATTAGCATCTGCTAAAGTCGCTTCTCTTTATCGAGCTCGACACTTTCTAACTCTGGATTCTATTCTCTATCTCTATAAATCTTAAATCCGGCCTTGTATGGAATACTGTTGCCATGTCTGGGGCAGATCTTGTAATGATGCCCTTTATCTTTTAGACAAGGTGCAAAAACGCATTGTAAACATAGTTGGACCTGCTCTTGCAGCCAACCTTCAACCTCTGTCACATCGTCGTAATGTTGCATCTCTTTCTCTTTTCTACAAATACTATAATGGGCACTGCTCGAAGGAGCTAGCGCCTCTTGTGCCATCTACTAAAATTTATTCTCGTGTTACTTGTCATTCAATCAAGTCTTTTCCTTTTTCTGTTACTGTTCCTAAGTGCTCCAAAAACTCTTACTCGTCTAGTTTTTTTCCTCGAACTTCAGTTCTTTGGAATTCACTTCTTTCATCTTGCTTTCCTGATTCATATAATTTGCAATCTTTTAAGTCGTCTGTCAATCGTTATCTTGCTCTCCAATCTTTATCTTTTCTCTTCCAGTAACTTCCAACACTAATTAGTGGTTGCTTGCAGCCTTGTTGGAAGCGAAGATAATAATAGTAAAAAAATAAAAATAAAAAAAAACTCCTAAATAGCACGACCTTCCGCAATTTGAAAATTTTTATATTACCATCTTTTTAATCTCTGAATTTTTTTTGATTAGTTAGTACAGGGGATAATTAAATTTATAAGCCTATCTAATATGAGGTTACAGTATAATTAATATAATAAATAGCTAATATTTAGTTAACTGTATATAAAAATTTGTTAAAAAAATTTTTTTTGACATTAATAATTTTATTTTTAAACTATTATATTGAACCATATATTTTACAAACTAAATTTTGTTACCTCCATTAAAAAAATATCTATCAGTGGTTTCCAAGGATAAAAACAATTTTTTTAACATTTTTTTAAGTCAAAATCTGGCGAAAAATTAAGAAACTTTATAGCCAATTTATAATATATTTATATTTAAAAATGTATGATAGCAATGCATTTTGATTTCAAAAAATATATTTTCTAAAACAATTTATATAATACTTTTATAAAATAAGGACTTGGTTTGAGTGCCACGACAAAAAACCTGGCGGTCTCTCTGGTGCACAGTGAGTATAGTTAGTAAAAATCATTTTAGGGTAGTAAAATAGTTTTGATGATTTTATGTTGTTATACACATTACAAGGGTTGCTTTGTTTTGCAATTGCATCACTTCTATTTAGTTAAAATGCAGCCTTGACCATATTCAAATATAGCATCAACAATGCTTCATTTGCAGAAAGCATGTTGATACTTAATTCTTATAGAACACTTTTGGAAATCAGTTATACTTTGATATTTCTAAATTAATATAAAATATATGATAATTGCTATTATATTAACAATTATAAAATAGTAAATAATAAAAGGTTGAAATTGTTAATAACAATAGTAAAAATAGTAAGATTGGTAGAAGTAAAAGAATTAAGTAATATCATTGAGTAAAGACAAAAAATATTGAATAGAGTAAGAAAATAGGATATAAGAAAAATAATAAGTTGTAGTAATATAACTAGCATAGATGCGAATAGTATTAATTGAGATAGGGGGAGACTGTTCCATTCATTGATGCACTGATGTTTTGATCTGTTCAAAAAATATACTTTTGCATGATGAGGATCTAAAAAGGTATGAGTACTTAATATTGCAACTGATTTGTGAGACAACAATGAAAGCATTTGGGAGTCTACTATGCAAGTAATCCCATACTAAGGTACAATTCAAAAGTTTGATGTTGTCATGTAGTTTTAAAACCTGTGATAACTTAAGAATTGGCTTTTAATTGTCCTTTTTTAAGAATTGGCTTTTAATTTGTCCCCAGATCCAGCATGCATACTTCAAGTTAGAACAGAATATGGCATGATAAATGTTAGTCACAGTTTCCATGTTGACAAAGTGATTACTTTGGCCAATATACCAATAGATTGATTTAATTTTGTCTTTAAACAAAATAAAGATGAGATTTAAAGAAAAGATGTCCATCCAACAAAATTTTAAGATACCTTGCTGATTTTTTGGGAGTTAATACCATTTTATTAGTTTGAAAATTTAATTGCTTAGAAATTTATTGATTTATAATTTTAAAGATTTGTGTTGTTTTAACATTAAGTGAAACTTTATTTCTCTCATTCTGTTAAGAATTTATATGACATCATTAGTTTTATTTTAAACTTTGTCAACAGAGCCTTTAATTATAAGCAAATTAGTGTCATCAGTCAATTGGCTAGTAAACACATTATTAAGGCATGTGTTTATCAAGAAAAGCAGAGGCCCAAACATAGATTCTTAGGAATAAATTTATAAGTTATTGACAATATTGAGTTTTACTGATTGACTTTTATGCACTAAGTTGTTAATTTTTAATACCTAACTAATTTTTATCTTAATGTTTAAGTTGTTCAAGTTTAATTCTTAAAAAGTTATTTAACAATTTTTTCACTGATCTCACTGATAAATTGCAAATTTTATTTTTATATATTTTAAATAAACTAAATGTTTTATTATTTAGAGTTGATGGATGAGCTTAAAATATTTTATACAATTTATCATTTGATTTTATATTTCAAAATTCTTTGGGTAATCTAAGGCTTTTGTTTAGACTTTTAATGTTTGCTTATCTAGAGTTTTTTTCAAGGTGATCATTTTAAAGGTGTTTCCTATATATTTTTTTCTGTTTTATTTTGTCAGTTTGATAATTTGAGACAAATGATTTGAAATAGAAAAAGTCAAGTTACCTGATATAATTTTATCTGAGTAAAAATTAATAAAAATAATACCAATAAGATTATTTGCATTTGAATTCATTCTTGCTGGCAAAATGATGTATGGAAATAAAGAACTGTTTAGAAAAAGTGATAAATCAGGCAAATAACCATCAAATAAAATTGCGACTAAGCATAGATATAAATACTCTATTCAAAAATTACCTTCTAATTATTTCATCTTTGAAATCTTTTAAATAACCATCTAAACTAAGAAGGTTCTGAAGTTCAGGAACAACCGTCATTTTTTCAGTCTCGTGGATTTATTATAGACCAAAAATTGCACTTCACATTACGGTTATTATTATACTGTAAACATTTTATTAATATCGATTAGCATTAAGATTATAAAACGATAACAACAATTTTGTAATAAAATAGTACAATAGCCGAGAGTTTGATTTCCTAATTAAATGTTTATCCTATTATCGTTTATAATCCGATTTATTATCTGATTATTATACTGCCGTATATTATCCCTCCAAATCCCACGAGACGTTAAAAATACGAATTGATATAAAAAAAGTATAAATACGACGTAAAATAAAATATAGCAAAAACATTTGCTCAAAAATATAATCTTTTTTGTACTAAAAATTGGAAAAGAAACTTTTTAATTTAAATTTAATACTTCAGTACACTAAAGATAGACAGATCAGTGCAAGGTTTATATAGAAACATACCTGTCAATCTTTAGTGTACTGAGCAATTAAATTTAAATTAAAAAGTTTATTTTCCTCATTTTAGTACAAAAAAGATTATATATTTTGAGCAAATGTTTTTGCTATATTTTATTTTCTACTTTTTAGTCTTTACAAAGAGTTACGATATAAAGATGGATTTCGTAGATTTTTCAGCAAAGATAGTTCATCAAAAATTAAAAAGTCTAAAATCTAGCACATCATTTGGACCTGACGGTAAACCAAATTTACTTTTAAAACAGTTAGCACATATAATATGTATTCCGCTTTCATATATATTTGAATCAAGTTTTACGTCAAGCTCGTTACCAAAACAATGGCTTCAAGCTTCGGTTTCCCCTATTTTTAAAAAAGGATCTACTTTAGATGCTAACAATTATAGACCTATCTCCCTCGCAATGCGAGGGCCTCGCATGTACTAGCTGTCGTGTAATGGAAAATATTGTTAGTTTAAGTATCGCTTTTATCTTAATATAAATATCTCGATTATCTTAATATAAATAATCTAATAACACCTAATCTTAATATAAATATCTCGATTATCTTAATATAAATAATCTAATAACACCTAATCAACACGGCTTTTTATCCAAAAGATCTATGAGCACAAATCTTTAGAGTCAACTAATGACTGAAATAGAGCTTTAGACTGCATTTTAATTACTGACGTGGTATACATTGGTTTTCAATTGAAAAGCATTTGACTTTGTACCTCATCCAAAACTTTTGAAAAAACTTGCAATGTACGGCATAATAGATAACCTGCTTCATTGGATATCAGCATTTCTTTCTAACAGATATCAAAAGGTTCTGGTTTGAAAATTCACTATCCAATCTTACTAGCATCCTTAGTGGAGTTTCACAGGGTAGCGTTTTGGGTCCAACTATATTCTTGTTATATACTAATGATCTAGCTTCTATAGTAAAAGATCTTAATTGCTTTCTTATGTTATATGCTGACGATATCAAGCTATATAGATCATTTAAGGATGTCAATTAGAGTCACGATCTTGTTATAGCCGTTTCTAAAGTTTCTCTGGTCAAAAAATGGCAGTTAAAAGTAGCCAATAACAAGTGCTTTACTCATAGAATAGCACCTACTTCATTTTGTAAAGATATAAATTAAAACTATCAATTAGGAAATCATAATTTAACCTGGTATACAAACCTAAAATATTTTTAGGTTTGTATACCAGGTTTTTTTTTATTTAACAGCTATATTTACACTCGAGGACATAATTTCAAATTACGCTAACTAAAATGTAAACTCGATGTCCGTAAATACTCTTTCTCACTCAGGGTTGTTAATATTTGGAATAACTTGCCGTCTGACGTCGTGAACGCCAAAAATATAAAGACCTTCAAAATTAAAATTAACTCTATCGACTTTGAAAAATACTGTTCCGGCTAACTGGTTTTTGTTTTATAACTGTGGTCTTATATATAATTGTAATATGTATATATATATATATATATATATATATATATATATATATATATATATATATATATATATATATATATATATATATATATATATATATATATATATATATATATATATATATATTACAATTATATATACTAGCAGTAAGCAACCCGTAATACGCGTTGTTAGTAAATAAAATTAAAAAAAAAAACCGCGTATAGAAAAGCCTAGAAACTACTTTAAAATAGAAAAGCTTAGAAAATGACGTAACTCAACTATTAAATTAGCGTATTCATATTATCAGAAGACCACAGTTATAAAACAAAAACCAGTTAGCAGGACAGTATTTTTCAAAGTCGATAGAGTTAATTTTAATTTTGAAGCTCTTTATATTTTTGGCGTTTATATATATATATATATATATATATATATAAATATATATATATATATATATAAATATATATATATATATATATATATATATATATATATATATATATATATATATATATATATATATATATATATATATTAAAATTATCTAGCATATGTATTATGTGAGTCTTTGTCGGTTCCAGTATCAGTACTATTATTGAACCTTCTAACAGTACTATTATTGTACCTTCTGTGCTTCTCTATGCTTCTAATATTGTGTGCAATTTCTGTCTGCTTTCTCCATGCTATCTTTCTAACACAACTTCTTCTATCTTTCACTCTAATATACCTTCGTTCTTCCCAAACTCACTTTACTCTTGGTCCGAAGAGCAAGTAATGACGTTCCTTAAGAAACTAAACTTGTCTTTTCAGGCTTTTGTAATGTGGCCTCCCCAAGGCAATTAGCTGACGGAGGATAAACCACAATACCATCAAGTGAAAGAAAGATTAAAAAAAAATACAAAAGAATGTAGAAAAAATATAAATAATACGAATTCTGTAAAAATAAGGTTTAAAGAAAACAATTTAGAGGTTTGATTATATGCATTTTGTAGATTAACATGGCATAATGTTAAAATCTTTTAATTTGATCACAGAGGAAGTTCAATTTTAAGGATTTTCCTGAAAAACAACTTAAACTAGCTAATTTCAAATAAAAAATTTATTAAACTAAGTTAGATTTATTAGTAAAAATAAAAAAAGATAAACTTTAAATAAAAACATTAAGAAATAAGCAACAAATATAGTAAATAAACGAACATTTTTTTAAAATTGTGTCAAAATGTAAAAACCGATTAACAGAGTCATCGAGCAGCGGTGGCGCAGCAGTTAGAGCGCTTGCTTTTAGGCTTTGTTAATAAACAAGCAGGCATGACATTGCAGTTGATGTTAGATGTCAAAACTTGGTGAAATTCATTGATAACCATGCTCAAACGATTCCTTCAAATAAAGGATCCTATAACTATAACTTAAAGTGTGCAACAAAAGATTTCAGAGAAGAATATATCAACTTTAGAAGAACTGTTAAATGTCTTATTACCGATAGAAACTGCAATAAAGGAGTTGAGTAAAAGTTCTGCAACTCTTTTGACCGCTGAAGGTATTTAAAAATTTATATTTAAATACTTAGATGAGTTACAAACGAATATAAGTAAAAATTTATTAAAACAGATAAAATAGCGAATGAATAAACGTTGTGATAAAATCCTCATGACATTAATGATCTTCTTAGAATCAGGCAATATTCCACATTCTACTAAACATTTTGAATATACTTCAAAATCTGACACCATTGCTTTAGCAGTAGAAATATTTAAAATGATTCATACATCTAGTGGTGACAGCAGCAGTACTGAGCACAATGAAGTCAATGAAATTGCAAAAGAAATAGCAAGTGAAAAGCATTTAATAGGAAGTTCACGCCTCCTTCCCAACCGATGTCGCAAAACTTGCCCAGAGGTGGGGTTTGAACCACGGATCTTACGTTTCTGAGGCAAGTGTGCAACCACTGCGCCACGGCTGCTACATTTAAAGGGTCTAGGATTAAATGATATAGTTGTAGATGGTTCAGTAAATGTTGATATACTGGTTGGAGCTGATTTTTATTGGAAATCCTTTGGTGATACAGTCGTTAGAGGTAATTCTGGACCTGTTGCTCTAAAGTTTAATTTTGGTGGTTATGTGTTGAGTGATTGTTCAGGTAAAAAGAAAGGAAATAGTTTTTGTGTGAACACGGTGCACGTTTTAAAGGTTCAATCTGAATTTGTTGAAGATGATGTTGTTTTGAAAACTTCCTTAAAAGAAATGTGGGGTTTTAAGGATAGTTGTAAAGAAAATGATTTAGTATTAGATAATTTTAAAGAATCTACTTATTTTGATAAAGGTTTGGGTCGTTATATGGTTGATTTACTATTTAGGAGTGATGAATTTATATTACCTGATAACTATTCCTTATGTATAAATCGAGTAAATTCCCTGAAAAAACGATTTTTAAAAGATATAGATTTGTTCAATTCATATAATGATATTATTAAAGATCAATTATCTCAAGGTATCATTGAAAAAGTTTCAGTTAATGATTTAAATGCTGAAAATGTACATTATTTGCCTCACAGACTGGTGAAGCGTGATGATAAAATTACAATTAAAGTGCAAATGGTATTTGATCCCAGTACAAAATCTTTTGGAGCATCACTTAATGAATGTTTATATTCGGGTCCTAGCTTGACTACATCACTTTTTGGAACTTTATTACGATTCGTTCGAAAAGATTTGCGTTTATTGCAGATATTGAGAAGGCTTTTTTTTCAAATAGACCTTACAAATAAATGTCGAGTGTGTTAGGTTTTTGTGTTATGATGACATTAATTATATATCTGTTGAAAATTTATCAAATGTAAAATTAATATCATATCGTTTATGTAGAGTATTGTTTGGAGTAACGTCGTCTCCATTTTTACATAATGGAACGTTAAAACTACATTTGGAACAATATTTAAGAAGTAGTCCGTCATATGTTAATAAACTTGTAAATAGTCTTCATGTTGACCATGTAAATTCTTGTTTTGATGAAGTAAGTCAATGCATTAACTTTTACAAATGGTGTAAGTTAATATTAAAAGTTAATATTAAAAGTTAATATTAAAAGTTAATATTAAAAGTTAATATTAAAAGTTAATATTAAAAGTTAATATTAAAAGTTAATATTAAAAGTTAATATTAAAAGTTAATATTAAAAGTTAATATTAAAAGTTAATATTAAAAGTTAATATTAAAAGTTAATATTAAAA